CTGTTAATGAGTGAGTCATTGAGATTCAGCCGATTCTTTCAAACGACTGATTCATTCAGAAACAAAGCATTTTACTTGTTAATGAGTGAATCACTGAATCATTTATTCAACCGATTCGTTCAAAAAGCTGATTCAATCAATAAGTAAACACCGTCCATTGTTCAGAGACGCAAAACAGTGCTGTGATCTTTGTTTGGAACTATTTTCGTTGGCAAAATTGAGCAAAAACAAGCAATATGATGTCTAAAATGTAAGTCACTTACTGCTTTACTGAACTTGTAATTAATGATTATTAAATGTGTTCATGCTGATATCTGCAGAAAAACGGTACTCTTTGTGTGATATAGATTGTTAACTATATTAAATTATATAAGTATAAAAAGCATACGGAGGCATTTTTTGCCGTCTATAATTTAGAATGCCTTGAATTTTGAGTTTTAATAGATTAATAAATCACGTGCGTGCACTCTCTGTGATATACTTGATAATGTCAGATCGCACATCATTACAGCACTTACCATATTATCGCAGAAGATATACTGTATATCGCACACTCCAGCCTCGACTTGAGTGGAAATGAATTCTCTGCAGTTGTGCGCGCACTTGTTTGCACATGAGCATGAGTGTAACTTGCAGACGCCAGACCACTGATTCGTCAAACCTGCTTCCCTGCAGTCCGTGTTCTTTTGACTTCTGACTATTTTGTAGTAAGTAATATGCTTCGGGGAAATGTATCGGAGTAAAAGTATACATTTTAATTAGGAAATGTAGTGGAGTAAAAGTAAAAGTAAAAGTTGCCTGAAATATAAAAACTCAAGTAAAGTACAGATACTCCCAAAAAATACTTAAGTACTGTAACGAAGTATTATTACTTCATTACATTACACCACTGACTATTATCAATATTTAAAACAGTTGAGTACTTTTTTCAGGATTCTTTGATGAATAGAAAGATACAAAGATCATAATCTCTCTGAAATAAAAAGCTTTTGTAACATTATACACTAGACCATTCAAAAGCTCTGAGTCAGTATTTTTTTGGGGGGTGGGGGTTAAAGAAATCATTACTTTTATTTAGCAAGAATGCTTTAAATTTCTCAAAAGTGATGATAAAGACATTTATGTTACAAAAGATTTCTATTTCAGATAAATGCTGTTCTTCTGAACTTTCTATTCATCAAAAAAACTTGAAAAAATTCTACTCAGCTGTTTTCTTTCATAATAATAATAATAATAATAAATGTTTTTGAGCAGCAGATCAGAATAATAGAATGATTTCTGAAGATCATGTGACACTGAAGACTGGAGTAAGGATGCTGAAAATACAGCTTTGATCACAGAAATAAATTACAGTTTAACAGATATTCAAATAGAAAACAGCTATTTTAAATAGAAAAAATATTTCAAAGTTGTACTGTTTTTGCTGTACTTTGGATCAAATAAATGCAGGCTTGGTGAGCAGAAGAGACTTCTTTAAAACATTACAAAAATCTTACTGTTCAAAAACTGTTGACTGTAAAAAAATTCACAATTTGAAGTCTTGCAAAACAAAGTTTCATCGATCACATCACTTTTGTGGCTTCTAGGACTTTTTGGTCAGGCTTGATAGTGTAAAACGGTAATAAAGAGCCGTTTTTAGTAGCGGCTAGCACTGGCCACACAGGGGCTGCATTTTGAGCCAGCTGAGGAATGTAAGGACGGCAGACCGCAGCACATAGCAGGAACCACAGGGCAGGCTGGAGAAACCAGCCTTCAGTCTTCAGCTGTTTTAAATATTGATAATCAGCAAATCAGCATATTAGAATGATTTCTGAAGATCATGTGACACTGAAGACTGGAGTAAGGATGCTGAAAATACAGCTTTGATCACAGAAATAAATTACAGTTTAACAGATATTCAAATAGAAAACAGCTATTTTAAATAGAAAAAATATTTCAAAGTTGTACTGTTTTTGCTGTACTTTGGATCAAATAAATGCAGGCTTGGTGAGCAGAAGAGACTTCTTTAAAACATTACAAATCTTACTGTTCAAAAACTTTTGACTGCTAGTGTATATAGAATAAGAGCGTCAAAACACAAACGCCATATGAAAGGGTCTGGTCAGAAATTCTTTATTGAAGATGTATTTAAAAAATTTTTACAGCCCATTTAGTTCTCTGATTAAACTTTTAACTGATATTGCCAGAGCAGCATCATTATTAGTGTTTCTCTCTAAGTATAAATGTTGATTACAAGAGGTTTGAGTGAAAATAGATCATACAGACTTTTGCTAACAAAAAGGATTCATTTTATGTTTATATTCTCTCATGATAGACATGACAGAATAAACATGTGATATAATCAGTCTAACCACAGATACATGCTGTGAACACCAATCATCTGTTCAGTGGTTTACATTTGCGTGCTACCAGTCGCAGGTAGACGGAAGAACCAAACAAAGATTTCTCAGATTTCTTCTTCATTCACACACTGCTGTGGTAGACTGACAGCCCAGGATAAATCTGATGTGTATCTACGGTTTTATCCATCCCCACAAATCCAGTCCAAACCACAGGCGGACCACAAAATATACAAGACTTCTGTTCAAAGTTCTAAAACTAATTTGTTTAATCAGGTTTGTCTGCAGCTTTACTTCTGGGTCTTTGATTAACTGCAGCTTTCGTCCTATTCCTTCTCTTCTTTCCTCTCCGGGTCCAGCATCTCAGAGAGCGCCGCTCCGTCTGTCATCTTCTTTTCTAATTTAGTCACGCGCTTCTTCAGTTTGCCTTGTGTGGCTTCATGTTCGGCTAAGAGGCGGGCGAGGCACGTCTGAAGGTCATCCAGCACGCTGCCGATCTTCACCACCTTTTCCTCCATGTCTTTGGGATCGGGACCCTGCTTGGCCAGCTCTAAATCCAGAAGATTGTCCTATGGATAAAAATGATAAAACATTAAAAGAGTGAATCCACGCTTTTATTGCTTCTGCTTAGTGTTTATGTGACCCTGGACCACAAAACCAGTCATAATGGTCAACTTTTTGAAATTTGAAATTGTTAGGATAGGACAATATTTGGCTGAGATACAACTATTTGAAAATCTGGAATCTGAGGGTGCAAAAAAATCTAAATATTGAGAAAATCGCCTTTAAAGTTGTTCAAATTAAGTTCTTAGCAATGCATATTTCTAATCAAAAATAAAGTTTTGATATATTTACGGTAGGAAATTTACTAAATATCTTCATGGAACATGATCTTTACTTAATATCCTAATGATTTTTGGCATAAAAGAGAAATTTATAATTTTGACCCATACAATGTATTGTTGGCTATTGCTACAAATATACCCCATCGACGTAAGACTGCTTTTGTGCTGCAGGGTCACATAAATGCATTCCAGACAGCATGCATGATGCCTGAGTAGAGCATTTGGAAGGGAAATCTCTGAAATATCAGCGCACACTGACAGCGCTGCAACGTCAGGCAGAAGCCCAGGTTTGTCACAGCACATATCCAGTGCGATGAAGCCCACGACTGCTCTTTGATCTTATACTACTAGAAAAGTTTTAATAGTTCATATACTTTTTTGAGGAACTGACAGCATGCAGAATATGGCTGTCTTTAGCGCACACATAAGTGGCATTGCAATGCGCAGCTGCGGTTGAAAACTAACTCCGCTAACAAGGAACATTCTCAGAACTTCGGCTAACGATCTGGTTTTCTCAAAATTATATGCAAACGCTCTTCCAGTAACGTTAATGAACATTTGTTCAGAGTTATCTGCTCTTTACTAATCTTCTCAAAACATTAGCACAAAAATCTTTTTACAATTTCTGAAACATTTTAGTTGGACGTTCATCTAAAGTCCAAAGCATACTTCGGTTTTTATGCAAAATGTAAAATTTCATCATCAGAATAGTATGTGTGTACAAGCAGCACCTGAATTTTGTGACTGTGTCTTTGTACGTCGCACATGCACATTGACTTGGTTTTGCACTAATCAGTTGCTCCACAAGGTGGCAGCACTGGCCCGGGCACTACAGAGACGGAACAACAACAACAAAATAGCGGAGACTGCAACAACAATGACATACCAGCAACTTATTGAATGAAGTGTACAAAGACATTTTTATCGCTCATAACTTCCGGAGAAAAACAGCGCAGACACTGGACTAAGAAGAATCTTTCTACAGTGCATGTGCCAACCGCGTGCGTTCACGCACGATATCAAATGGAGTATACTTTGAAAGGCTACGCATACGACTGTGCTGTACTACAAAACGTCCGGAGAATATTTAAAAAGAACATTCCCATAACGTTTGCATGTTCCTTTAACGCAATGATCACCAACCTTTTTAGGCCCAAGATCCCTGACCTCGGCCTTTATGAAAGACAAGATCTACCTATTGAAGAATTGATAGAAAAAGACTGCCCAGATTGTACTTCCAATTTGAGGCCTTTTATTTAGTATTTTAATTAGTGATGCACCAATCATAGCCGATTCAGAATCAGATTTTCTTTTTTCTTCCTTTTTTAACTAGCAAATTGGCTGATTCTGATACTTATTTTTTTTAAAGCAAATTTATTATTGGCTATTTGCTTTATAACAAACAGACTGGCCTTAAATAAAAAATATCTGTAGCCATTTGAAATTAGAGGTAACCACTGCATTTTAATCACGATACAAACAAAGATGCTACACACATGTTGCATGAGCAGTTGTTTTTTTTAAAATAGATTGTATAATTTTAGGATTTAAAGCAAAAACAGAATGGTCTGACTTTAGGTTTTATTTATTTATACATAAAACATATCTGCATGAAACAAAAACAGCAGGTCTGAATGAGACGCAAATACACTCTCTGCCAGCAGGTGGCACTTATGAACCAGCCGCGATATAGCGTTTCCTTGGTTACCGCTGTAAACAGAGCTGCGCTTTATACAGAGATAAGAGAAGTAAACGCCATTGCCATCAAAACTTTTCTCAAGACAGTTCCCTTCAGTGATACTGTTACAGTATTTTCTCTTCTTTGTGCTCGTCTTCAGCATCTCTGGCCTCTGTTAAGTTCCTGTGCGTGATGTATTTTTCTTTATCACTGTCTCAGTAGCTACCGAAAATAACAGGAAAATACAGTACAAAGAAAGGAGAAATGTAATGCATTTTTGTACTTATTTTACTGTTATTTTCGGGATCTACTGGGACAGTGATAAAGATCAGTTGGCGATCATGAAGAATTTATTTTTTGTTCCCACTCTTATTGACCGTCATGCCGCGTGGTGCCGGTTGACTACTCGCGCTGTGAGACGCGCTCTCTGTGTGTGTGTGTGCTTCAGTGTCTGCGCTTAGAAAACCGGCCCGAGTTGAGCTCTCTCTTGTGTCGTCAGATTTATATATTATATGTCTGCTCTTCTCTTATTCCCACATATTGACATTTTTGGACGTTTTATGCGACGTGCAGCAAGTGTACGTTAGCTTATGTCCCGCCGGTTCATATGTACACATCTAACCTCCTAACCTAACCTCCTAACCCTAACCTAAGCCTAATCCTAACTCTAACCACGCAGCAGATTCGTTCTGAATGAATTGCTTCCCAAATCATCCCTCCCTAAGATTTTCGTCTCGTTTTTATTCGTTGACGAAAATGTCAATAGCTTTACGTCATAGTTTTTGTCATTCAAAAAGAGTTTTAGTTCATTATTGTCTCGTTGTCGTCAGTGAAAAAAATGTCGTTGACGAAAATTATTCGTCAACGAAATTAACACTGGTTCGATGCATTACTCTCTCGAGGCCGTTTACTGAACCGCATACCTTCATAAGGATTTGTCGTCCCTTCTCCTCCAGCATGGCCTTGGCGTCCGGATATTCGGTCAGCGCCTCCATCAGGTCGTCTTTGGACAGGCAGAAGAGGTCAGAATAGCCGATGCTGCGGATGTTGGCGGTTCTTCGGTTGCCTGCCCTACTGCCCTTGATGTTGAGGATGCTGATCTCTCCGAAGTAGCTGCCGTCGCTCAGCACCACGAACTGCGTGACTCCGTCATCGGCCACCACAGCCAGTTTTCCTTCCTTAATGATGTACATCTCGCGGCCGATGTCGCCCTTCTTGCAGATGTAGTCTCCGGGGCTGTAGACCTGCGGCTGAAGCTTCAGCACCAGCTCCACCAGCAGCCCGGCCTCGCAGTCCGCGAAGATGCGCACCTTCTTCAGAGTGTCCAGGTGGACGTTTATAGCGACCTCCGCCCGCAGCTTGTCCGGCAGGTACTTCAGCACTTCTCTCTCATCGACTGCTTTCTTGTTGGTCCACAAGTAATCGAACCACTTGATGACCCGTTTCTCCAGGTCTTTGGTGACCTTTCGGAAGCTCATGTACTGTTTGATAGCGTCGATGCGAGCCTGGAAATCCGCTCGCGCCGCGTTGGCGTTGGTGATCATGGAGCCGACATTACCGACGATGGTGGCAAAAATCAACACGCCGACCAAGAAGTCCGTCACCACAAAGAAGTACTCTGAGTTTTTGACAGGGGGCGGCGTTTCGCCGATGGTGGTGAGCGTGAGCGTGGACCAGTACATGCTGTATGCGTACTTTCTCTCCAACCGGCCAAACTCCGGGTTCGAGATGTCCGGATACACGAAAGCGTCCGACCCGAAGCCAATGGCCTTGGAGAAGGAGTAATACATGCAGGCGTTCCAGTGGATGATGATCACGATGTACATGACGAGGTTGAAGATTCGGAACAGGTTGGGAAAGTTAGTCCGTGTTTCGGTGCGCTGGAAAAACTCGAACAAGCGGTTGACCCTCAGTAACTTGTTCATGCGAATCTCGGGGTAGTTCAGACCAAAGTAGAAGTAGAAGATGTCGGTCGGAACCATAGAGGCCAGGTCCAGCTTAAACTGGACGCTCTGCATGTAGCGATCGCGAAGTTTCTTCTCATCCTTCACCAACAGCCCCTGCTCCAGATATCCTGCAGACGAGCACAAACACACCGAGATTTCAAGTCGTCACCTTTATTTATAGAGTGCTTTTAACAATACAGATTGTGTTAAAAAGCAGCTTTACAGTATTAAATAGGAAAAATAGTGTGTAGTAATACAAAACAGTAAACACTCAATTTTCAGTTAAAGTATGTTCTGTCATGACAACTCTCAGAGGGATTTGCATGGTAATATACACATGACAGTGTTAATGTATTTGGTCTTGGTGGAATAGATCTGCTACGCTGCTGCTGCTGCCAATACATCCACAACATGCTGCTGTGAGCATGTAAGAAATACTGCTGCTGCACATATAACGTACATGAAATAACCCCCATATAGCATACTTGAATCACCTCGTAGCAGATCTATACAGGTGGAGCTGGGGAAGGTGGAGGGTTTCTGAAGTGCACTGCTACTGCTACAGCAAGCACTAGACATATATTTAAATGTTGAGCAGCGAGCTCATTGGCTACCGATACATCAGCTGTGCCATGTGATAATGATGTCATTAGGTCAGATTAAGTTAGACCTATCGAACTGCGTCATCTAGAGTCTCATGCCAGAACTCTGTATTTCGTCATTGATTCAGTGATGTCATCGTCCAGCTCAGCTCAGTTCAGTTCAAATAGTGTCTGTGCACTCAAGTTGACAATATGATTTCAACACGCTCGGACGTTTCTCCTGATGGAGCTGGAACTCACCTGTCCTGGTCCTGAACACCATGTCCAGCAGATACACCAGATCTGATAAGAAATCCAGGATGAACCAGTTCATCAGAAAGTCCGACTGCAGCTCCTCAAAGCAAGCTCTGAGAGACAGATAGAGAGAGAGTCGAGCTGAGATCCACGGACTAAACTATCAGAGAGCAGAGTGTTGTTTTGTGACGTGACAGGCACCTCGCTATGATGAGAACCCAGTTGTACATCACAGGACACGTGATCATGAAAAGCCAGTTGTAGTACATGTTTCCCGCCGGATCCACAACTTCAATCTCCTTTGGTCTGGAACACAAGAGTATAGAGTTATAGAGACTAAATGCAGAACAGTAACAGTTCCAACACGCATCCCATCTCCCAACGAACAGATCACGATTCTCTAATGGCATAAATATTACATGCTTCACCTTTAACAAATATACAATATCAAAAACAAAGAGACAAAGATGATGGAGTCTGACAGTCTAAACAAAGATGAACCTACGGTTCTTTCTTCTCTTTCTCTTTCTCTTTCTCTTTCTCTTTCTCTTCTGCTTCTTTTTTCTTTTCCTTCTCCTTTTTTTCCTTCTTCTCTTTTTTCCTGGAACAACACAAATATGTAGAGTAAACCATCAATGAATGAATGAATGAAGCGAATGTTTGAAAAATCATCTCATCTTACTCTTTCTTCTCCTTTTTTTCTTTCTTTTTCTTCTTCTTTTCCTCTCTGTGAATATAAGACACATAATGATAAAGCGGTCAAAGCACCTGAAGCGTAAGTGTGTGTTGTGTGTGTGTATGAACTCACTCTTCATTGCTATTGCTGTTGTTGGTGTTGAAGTAAGGTCCAGCTTCTGGGTGCTTCTCTTCTCTTCAGAAAAAAAAAAGTCAAATCAATAACCGATAACTTATCGATCATTAACCAACCACTGATTTCTATCCGAGATAATAATCCATTTATCCGTCACCCATAATGCATTGCTCACATAATGTCCTCTGCGGCCATCGCAACCTCCACCCCCTCCAGGAGAAATGTGGGTGGGGCCAGAGGCCTCATTCGAGCAGACATCACGGCTGATTGGTCAGGCCACCTGTCCGTCACACAGTACTGCAGAAAAATCCACATTTCACATTTTAGAAACTGTGCAGATACAGTTCACAGCAACTGAGATTTAGATTCTCTTCAATATGTTTCAGTATCAGAAAGCAGTTATAATAAACTTGTTATTTTAACTGGACAACTCAAAATAGGAAAAGCCGAATAAACACTTTTACTAAAACGAACAATGTCCCAAGTTTTAAAAAAGAAAGACAACAAGCAGTACCAGATTTCTGTTCTGCTGAAATTTTAACAGTAAAAATCTCTCAGTATGTCATGAACACAAGCAGCACAGTCTCTGCAGCCTTATCTCCCTTTTATTTTCATCCGAAAGGACAGAGATGAAGTGTAAATCTATCTAAATAAAATGAAATAATAATAACAAATCGAGCAGTTTGTATCCATCGGTACTCACCTTCTGCTGCCTTCACACACCTGAGCGCCGCACTGACATCATCATCATCATCATCCTCATCATCATAGTCACAGGTGTGCCAGTGAAAGCATGAGCTCATTCTCTCACACACAAAAGCATGAGAGTATGTTTGGGATAAACCTGGAACGCTGATAATTTTGTTGAGTATTCCCAACGATGGCGGACCACGAGAGGATTTCAGAGTGGCACAGCAGGATTTGGGATTACACAGATGACAGTCACCAGGTCACTCATTCTCTCTCTCTCGCTCTCTCTCTCACACACACGCTCACTCACTCACTCACTCACACTGGGGCCTGAGCAAATCCACTGAGAATCTGAGACAGAAAAACCACAGGCTTTCTCACGAAGTCAATATCAACCAGAGGACTGAGAGACGGTTCATGCAGCCCTCGTTTGAGCTCTCGGTCTCAAGTGTGTGCTGATCAGAGTAAGAGTTTGTATTCGCTCTGCCACAGACAAACTTACAGTGAAACATCAGTGTTCCCCGTGTGTCTTCTTTAGTGTGTTTCGTGTGTTTGTGTTCTTTATTTTGCGACGTTCACCTTGAGTGCAGCAGGTTGAGAGATTATCTGTCTGATAATGTGCCTGTCAGCTCTCTCCACTGATTACCATAAACCCGTTAATCCTGCAGCGTTCAGGTTAACTCAACACTTCATCCGTGTTAAAGACTCTACCAGAGGAAACAGATACAGGCACCTCATTACAGTTTTCCTCTCACAGCATCATCACATTATTTTACCTGTGAATGTGAAAATAGTTCTCTAATAACTATTGTTATTATCTAATAGTTATGGAATCTGCTTTTTTTTTTTCAAGTACTTTGCTGTATTGTTATATGATATGAACCTCTACAGTTTAAATCTTAAAGAACTTTGTGTCACGGAGGACAACATCTGCTCATTTCTCATTAAGTTCACTATTTTTACCCACAATTCTTTAAATAACAGAACAGATTAAAACTTCTAGGTTATTTACTACAGGAACAAACCGTTATCAGTAAATAAACATCGAATGACTTGGGAAACACACCAACAGAGGACGGCACCAGACTTTAATGTAAATAAACGAATCCACTGAACGGCAATGCTACTGAGGTCAAAGGTCACACATATCCAGAGGAAATGCCAAGTTCTCACAGTAACTCACATCCTGAAAATAACGATCAGCAGTTCGATCTCACTCCAGTGTTATTCCAAGGCAAATAACAGAAACAGGATAAGCACAATTCATTCGTCTCGTTTATCTGCTAGTGTCTCGTGTGTGTAATCAGACAGATTTCTCCTCCTCTGTTGACTTAAAGTAAAACCTCAGTGTTTCCGAAGTATAAACTTTAATAGGAGAGTTGGGTTTAAAACTGCAGTGATTGTTGGATACGCCACTGAACTACAGTGACAGTAAAGAGAATTGAATGACATATCTGGGGTTTTAATATTCATTGAAAATTAATTATTATTCAAAAATTTATATTCATTGTATGGAATTAGCTATGAACAGCTGAGCTTGCTGAATAATTTGAACTGAATAATGACACCATATTGTCTGTAGAGCTGCTTTATGTCTGAAATAGAAGCTGTAATTATAACCGAAGTTATTTTAGAAATCAGCACAGAAGGCATCAGTGAAAACCCTTTGATTTTCTGATCAGTGGGTGTTTTTCCTCTGGCGTGTTTGTGGTCAGAGGCCTTTCTCTGTCTGCCCCCGAGCGTCCGGCCGCGCTGCAGCAGGGGTCTGGGGCCGGGATTGGGCCCCGTGCCCTCCATCACACCCATGCTGGGTGAACCCACGCTGATGGGAACCATATAGATCACTTGAGAAAACACACATCTCATCATGGGACAATCCATAAACTGTGTCTTTTAGGGAAGACGTGCAGGTAACAGCTCACACAAACATGAAAATTACGTTACTGTACATATTCAGTAGAACGTGATGCTCTCAAAACTGATAAAAACACAATGATAGCTTTATGTCATGACAAAAAAAATTGCACTGTCCAGTCACTGTCCGCTTTTATTGTGAGGGAAAAAAGCAGCATGGACATTTGGCTAAACATCTCCTCATGCTCCACAGAAGAAAGTCTTAAAAAGATTATTATTTAAATTTTTTGTTCAATGAATCTTTGTGTGTGTGTGTGTGTGTGTGTGTGTGTGTTTGTGTGTGTGTGTGTGTGTGTGCGTGAGTGTGAGTGTGTGTGTGTGTGTGTGTGTGTGTGTGTGTGTGTGTGTGTGTGTGTGAGTGTGTG